TCTGCTAAGATTTACTCCTGCACTTTTACGATCAGCATCTTGTTTATTGATATTCAAAATTAAAGATTTTTTATTGGATTCTTCTTTTATACTTCATACACTCATATCAATTGATGATTTTGTTGATGATGAGATTGATCATTTGTATCTAATATTTGTTCATAAGCACAAATTTTAAGAACTTCTTCTGTTGATAAATAATAATCCGTATTGGATAATAAAATTTCATTGACGTTCTCAAAACGTTCTTTATTTGAAATAATTCTTATAATAATTGTTGTTAAAAATATAGAATATTTTTCAATAATTGGATCGAGAATATGTAAATGATTAGGTGGCACTAAGAAAACAAGAAAGAAATTTTTGTTTGTGTTATATAAGGGAAAGTTTTTCCTTCTATAACATGCTCTCAAATTTGATCAGACTGTAGAGAGTACCTCCCAGCGGTTTGACAGTTGAATGTAGTATAGTCTGAAAAATGCAGACTTCATAAAACGTTAAATTATCCGCTATAACATCATTAGTTTCCAATGAAATTTTCTATGTACAAGTGCCTGCTCTCCAAGTATTTAGTCTCTACATTACAGGATAGTGGGACGTTGTATTGAAGAATTATAAAAAGAAGATTAATCAGTATGTCTAAATTTTAGAATTAAAATTTGTTTTTTCTTACCTCTGACTTCAAGAAAACGTCATTTCTTCTAAAAGAACAAAATGTTACCTTATAAAGGCAAACTTAGTCAATGATTTTTTTAAACAGAAAAAATCTATTTTTGCAAACCTCATGACTTCTGTTATATGTGAGTCAACCTGAAAGATATTGTCAAATTCAGATGCTTGAAGATACTATACAAAGTGGCCGATTTCGGGAGCATGTTGTAGAGGATGGAAAAATATCTGTCTCCTTAAAATACTTTGTAATATATATATCATAACTAACTGTTAGAAATAATATGAGTAAAATATTCTATACCTAAGTCTGAAATCATTTCTAGAAATTTTTCAGTTAATATGGATGAAAGAAGAAGTTCTTGTAAATTTTCAATGCGTTTACAACGTTTCTGATGATAATTAATACGTTGATGAAATGAATCAAGCAAAGTTTTACATTCA